ACGCATGTCATTTCCTTTAGCCTTTTTGATTTTTGTTTTATTTTCTAGTTCTCTTTTGCTGCATTAGTGAATCTTTTGGCTCGGGTTGGCCTGATCTCTTGTTGTGAATTTGAAAAATGTTGCCTTTTACTGTCACAGCCAAACACAAATTGCTCTATTAAAAAGAAGCGGCTCTGGGTAGAAAATAATGTGGTCAGTGCAGAAGCTTGCAGGGATTCAGGTCAACCACGAGTCATAGATGTACTACTTGAGTGATGTGTGGCCTATAGCCGGATGTCCAAGAGTCGTATTTGCTGTAGACGTGGTCGGGACAACTTGCACTTTCCTCACGCCCCGCCACTACACTCAAAGATGTGACAAAACCAGCAGATGTAAACGATAATGGAGTACCTTTGCTTAACTGCAGCGTCGTCTGCATCCAGGTGGTTGTATCACAGCTGCAAACACTGAATGGGGCGCAACAGGAGCGTGCGGTTGCTGCTCAACCACAGCCTACGAAGCACAGAGGCTTTGAGACACATCTGCATGTTCAGCCACTGCTGCATTAATTATGGCTGAAACACTGACAGTGTGTTGCTTATCTATGCTCGGCCCACACTTCCACTCACATTACTTGCAATATCCAAAACCACTGACATCTTTCTGCCTGGACAGGAGAAGGGTTTAGTATATTTCTGTTGTGAAGGGCGGGTTGGGGTGGGCGGGGACAGGGGTATCGGGTGAGTGCATCATTGTCCCGAAACAGGGACTCTTATTTTGACACACATACTGTAGATTCTAAACAGCCCTGGACCAATGGAAACAGTGGGTTCTTTTCTCATTATGTGTTCTATTTTTTATGGTATGAAAGGAAAACACAAACTGTAACTTAAAAAAAGGTCTTCAGGACAATTATTTTTTGGGTTATGTCTTTAGAATGCCAACTTGTCTGGAAGTTTCACAGGACAATTAAAATGTTATTTTAATGGATTCCTTGTTAATTGCAGTCTATTGGATAGCACTGTAGATCATACAACTTTATGTAAAAAACAAATAAAAAGAATGAAAAAAAAAGTTTTTATATGCAATGGATTAAATAAAAGCATGGGTTGATTCTGCCTACTCGCTGGTTCCTTGTGGTCATTGTTTCATAGGGTTATACGCGGTCACTGTGCATGAGATTCACTGATAAAAGAGATGACAGCCTGAGAGGATAGTTTAAAAATCGTAAATGCACTTTCTATATTTGGCATTCAGCAGCCCCCCTCACAGACCGCTTTGGGTGTGAGACATGTCTCGCACCTAGTCCAGTAAGTGTGTTCTGTAGTTTTTCTGCTCTAGATATACTCTGTGTCTTTATACAGCACCTCACAGAGATTGATATTAAATGAAGTAACCAAGGTTCAGGAGCAGGGCCACACCTCAACTACACTTCTAATTACCTTCCAAGTCTACTTATACCTGGTTAACCCATCCTGCTCTGTTTGTCCCTTCCGTTCATCCATCATCCTCATCCCTACCAACATCCCTTCATCCCCTCGTCCTTCTCCCCTCATCTCTTCCTATTCAGTCTGGTGCATACCTCTCCCATGTCTCATTCTAGGTACCGTCTGGGGGGCCTGTAATCAGCTTGGGCGGAACAACCCCCACACTGTGTCTCCCTCTGCCCGATCTTCAGTACATCCTCTCAGACCAGCCTAACACAAGACATCCCTTGTCCACCTTCACCACTAACTTCCATTCATCTGTCCTCAACAACTAACACCTCCTGAATTACAATTAAACATTTAACCAACATATTGTTGTACATTTTTTATTTTCTCTTTTTTGCAAATACTTATTAAATCTGTGAACAGTTACAGTCATTGCTCACTGTCTGTCTCTGGGTGATAATATCTGTGTCTGAGCCAACATGGCTTCAGGTCTGTCAGTCATCCTAACTAAACAGCATTACCTGCTGTTCATCTCAGTGAACAGCTTTCACTGCAGCCCTGATCAGGAAGAAATCAGCATACATTGTTACATTTCCTTTGTATATCTATAGCTGTTGTACATGTATACTACTATTTTATTTTTTTAAAGTAAGCTGTGGATATCACAATATCATATCAAAGTGCAATATAGACATAAAGGGATATGTTACATCTGATGTAACAGCACCAGTCAGGAAATGATCAATAAATCTTTCTTTGACCTGTTTGTTTCGCAACAGCAGGTTATACAGGTTTGCATATACACTTTGGTGCATAAATCTGCTACATTTGTGTATACAGTCTGAGAAAACAGTATTCAGATCCTTTACTTAGCCAAAGGAGCCATGCAGCAATGTAAAAATACTCAGTGACAAGTAAAGGTCCTGCAGAGGTACGCAAGGATTTTAGACAAGGCAATGCAAGGTGAGTTTATTTATAGCACTATACAGACACAAAACAATGCTTTACAGGGGCATAGATAAACATAAAATCTAATACATTAGAAAAACAATAAAATTGCATTCTGAAGACAATGAATAAATAAATTGGGGAAAAAAGTGATAAAGAGAAAGAAAAACAAAATCATTAAAGGACAGTTAAACAAGTTAAAGCAAGCAAATAAATAAATGCAGTAGTTACAGATTAAAGAAAGAGATTTGATTTTGGAAAGCCACGGTGAAAAATAATGTTTTACGCCCTGGTTTGAATGAGTTAGCAGTTTTAGCAGACTTCAGGTATTCAGAGAGCTTGTTTCACAGGTGGGGAGCATATAAACTAAAAGTTGCTTCACCTTGCTTGGTTCTGATGTTGAGAACATTGAGTAAATCTGTCTCAGATAACCTGAGGGGTCTGGATGCTTCCTATTGTACAAGTAAATCATAAGTGTATTTAGGCCCCAGACCAGTAAGTAGCATATAAATAAAATACCAAAGAAAGGTACCTCATACTGTACTTGAGCAAATGAACATTGTTAAATTTCACCCTTGGTGTTATGGGCTGACCTAAATAAACTACAGAAGACACCTTTAAAACAATCAAATCATTGGATTTATTAACATGAGACACACATAAACAAGACAATAATCCCAGGCTGAGAGGCAGCATGACCAGCAGTCCCCACAGCAGAGGCCTCTCACCTCTGCAGAAGCTCTGAAGCACCTTCTTCCCAGGCCAGGTGCACCTCGTTAGGCACACCTGAGAGGAGCTGCAGGAGAGGAACAAGGAACAACAGCACAGGTACACGTACAGCCAAATAATCATCAGTAATGCATCAACATGTAAGTAGCAAATTTAGTTAAGTTGCTGAGGTGAACTGTAACTATTTAACATGTGCTGTTGGGCAGTTTAATGTATATCAGTTAAAGGTTTTTGGGGCGTATTGTAAAGATTAAAAAAAAATTCTCAAAGCATCTCAGCCTTTAAGAGAACTCCTAAGGTGAAAAACCGTTAGGAGCAGGGAGTTTTAAGAGGGGAAAATGTGGAAAGACAAGAAATTATCTCCAAACACTGGATGACACTGACTAAATGAAATGCTACAGATATGATTATGCAGGGATAATATTTGTGTTTAGGAGTACGCAAACATTTTCCATCTAACGCTATAACACCAGAAATATAACAGTGCAGCGGTGATGACTTGGGTCTGTCTCAACCTTCCATCTACAGAGTGATCACACTAACACTTTCACAGTCAGCAGTTCATTTCATTTCCACTGTGTGTCCACGCTTTGCAGGCTCACAAAAGAACGTGTCTGTGACAACCAATCACATCTGTCAAAAGAAAGCATCACACCCAGCAAGGGGGCCAACCACACCACCTCACTTAGGTAAATGTATCTCTCTTCTTTGCTCAGAGTTGCCCTGTGAACTTTCCTAAATCACTCTGAAGCTAGGACTCCTTTACTAAATGTTTTTAGGCTAGATTTGTGAATACAGCCTCTGGTGTGTAGGATTTAGTGGGCTATATTGGCAGAAATGTATTATCAAATAATAGGTAGGCCTATGTTTTCTTAAGTGTATAATTACCTGAAAATAAGTATTGTAGTGTTTCCATTACCTTAGAATGAACCATATATATCTACTTAAAGAACTAGTCCTTGTTTATGGAGATTACAACTGTGTTTCTACGGCAGCCCAGAACAGACAAGCCAAACACTGGCTCTAGATAGGGCCTTTTGTGTATTCATTTTCATGTTTTCACATCCGCCACTGTAGTTTGCAGCTTCTACGCGATGAGAGCATGTGAAAGACAATGTTTTCTGTAAAACTTGCAACTGCTTTATTCAGTGTTTTCCCTGATTTAAATCACCAGGTTTGTTGTTGTGGAGAGGAGGAGACTTCTGCATACAACTCAGCTCCCGGTGAAAACCTCTTGAACCTCTGGATCTTAAGCTATCAGAGAAAAAAGGTGAGCACACACAGCATCTTCGACAAGTCAAACAGCATAGAAAAAACACAGATTTATAAACTGAAACTGCTTTATCCAGTGTTTCTACCCATTTTAATCACCGAGTCCATTTGTTTTGGAGAAGAAGAGACCTCCGTGGATAATTCGGCTCCTGTTTAAAGCCTCCTGAACAATAAACAGTGAAGGAATTCTAACCGTGAAAAGTTTCATCTGGTTGTAATCTGCAATCCTGCCATTAAATCCTGCACATGGCTACTTTAATTGCAAGTATAATCTTAATCTGCAAAGTAGCTCAATATATATAGCTGTCAAATAAATGTAGAGGAGTAAAAAGTCTAGTATCTGCCTCTAAAATGTGGTGAAAGAGAAATATAAAGTAGCATAAAATATAAGCGATTGACCACTATACAGTATGTCAAATGCTCCATATCCATCATCACCACCATCAGCAACATCTTAGATCTCAATGCAGGCATAGCGCTCCAACACTAGGTGGTGTACGTTGACTAGAAATAAAACAAATCGTCTGTGCTGCATCACCAGATCAGAGACAGCAGGTCCGGCTTAGAGGGCAGCAGCCGCCCAATCCCTCCGTCATGCTTCTGTGCAGTCAGCAGCGAGCGAGAGAGAACACAGAGACCCACTGATAGAATTTGATTTATTTCCTATAATCTCAAAAACATACTTCTTAATTTTGCTTGCACTCTGAGAAACAAATATATTCAGTTTTATATGTAAAGTGTTCTAAAATGAGATTCAACCAGAGTGTCAGTGTTTGGGCATCGCCACATAACTATTCTTCTATTAAATGAATCTTGACTGGAGATCAGTACAATAATTTATTTCATGGCTATTAGCATAAAATTATAATATCACACACACGTACACAGATGCACACGCACAAAGCACGTGTACACACATATGCGCAGGGTCTCTGAACTAGTTAATGTGTATCCCTTCTTCTTGGAATTACAACAGTATGGCATATTATGGCATGGACTAAGTTACCTCCCTGACTATCTTTCACAATAACACTGCATTTTGACATGATAATACACGATCAATCAACACCCAACACAGTTAGCAGGAACAGCATAGAGTACGTGAATACATTTGTACAAAAGGTATACACAAACAATACACTATATTATTTGTCTGTTCAGTATGGCAGGTACACACACATTCACACACACCGAGTCACACATTCAGTGGCTGCAGTTACCGAATGAAGCACGCTCTCACTTTTCTTTTCTTTCTTTTTTGTTGTTGGAGATTGTACATCAGTTTCAGAGCCAAACATTCACTCACATACTGCAGATAGAGTCGTAGTACTCGAGGACAGGAGAAACTATGTACAGGGTTTCATTCATAAAATATTGCACTTATTGGCCCATTGCATCTCACAGCGAGTGCTATGACAATGCTTCTAAATCTGTAACACAGAGTGCTATATATACACTATCTTATTATATAAATCTACATAGATAAGTCAGGACTGGCTTCATGCAATTTTCTGGAGGTTTTTATTCAACTATGCAACAAACAACTGACGATGCTAAAGGAACTGTAATGTTTTGGCACACTTTTTCTCTATGGGTTGCAGAACTGAAAGGCTTTCTGGATTTTATTTTGAAAATAAGCTACAACTTTTATACTACATGGACTTAAGTTATCATTAAGACCACTACAGCACTGTTAATGTTTGCATACAGAAACAAATAAGAGACATAAGTATCTGAATTTTAACAGCAAGTAAATACTTAATTTTGAAATTAAAAAAAACATAAATTTATAGCATTTAAATTCTTTACTTTAAAAACCATGTAATTAATCTGTTTAAAACTGAAATATAAAATTAACTGATTTAAAATTTCAAAAGCTGAATTTTCATTGGTTTGAAGGCTGACCAAATACCTCCTGACCAAGGTACCCCAAATTTGCTATGGAAATTTTTCAACTTGAATTTTTGGATCTGAATTTGCTCAGTCAAATTCTGAAATGAAATTCTGAAACTTGAATTTTTGAGTCTGAATTTGACCAGTCAAATTCTGAAATTTGAAATTCTGAAACTTGAATTTTTAGATCTGAATTTAACCAGTCAAATTCGGAAATCTGCAAATCTGAAACTTCAGTTTTTTGGATCTGAATTTGACCAGTCAAATTCTGAAATTTGAAATTCTGAAACTTGAATTTGACCAGACAAATTCTGAAATTCTGAAACTTGAATTTTTGAGTCTGAATTTGACCAAATTCTGAAATCTGAAATTCTGAAACTTGAATTTTTGAGTCTGAATTAGTGAACATTGAAAAATAAACCAAATTTGGTTTTCAAAATCACAAATCAAGACTTTTTTACATTTTAATCCCAAAAAGTGGAATTAAGGGACAAATAAATTCAGATACATGTTTTTCAAAGCAAAGATATTTCAATGCTATCAATTCACGTTTTCAAGTTTTCAGTGACTCAAATACGTATGTCTTTTATTTGCTTCCATATCTGCATTCCCATTTTAAACTACTGTATGTCTATAATGTCTTCTAAGCAGCTTACTAAGATTTTTCTTTCAATATGGACTTAATTTAATCGCACAAACATGAAATTTTCACATGCTGAATTAAACAATATTTTTTATATATATGGCTGTTTATTCCATGCCAGAGCTGATCAGATTGTGTATCATACACTGTACTGTGCCTTGTCAGTGTTTGATGTTCAGTTAATGAAATGCTGGATCATTGCTATCATATGGAGTTAAGGACGTTTAGGATCTATCTTTAGATTAAAAAAAGCACATATGATTGACTCTTTTTGGCAGCATGCTCATCGCATCAAACTATAAAGGGTCATCTTAGAGGCTAAGCACAGAGAAGTAGTTGCTTTAAGATTTACAGATATACTTATCAGAGAAATCGCACATCTACAGACACCAAAAACGTGGAATCACATCAACATTATACATACTGGATTCATTCCAAAAGTAAGCATGACAGAGGAACTTACAGAGGCCGTGTTGGAGATGCTAAAAGGCCACTTTTTATCCAAGGTAGATTATTTTTTTTTTAGATGACAAAGTTGCACTCATCTGTATCTCACACTCATGCAACCCCACTCGCACTTACTGTACAGTCACACAACAGCCACACACTCATTACAACAAAAAAAAAAGAAAAGCCGCTACATCCTATAGTGCACTAAATCATAGATTTGGCAGCTTTAGGAGACCAAATAATCCTATAAAAGGAAAATACATACTGTACAAAAAATAAAAAATAAAGCACTCACTGACTCTATCCCTCATTTTATAATTATTCTAGGTCTTAAAGATTTTTAAAGGTCTTAAGGGTTAACTGTACATCATGACTATGGACTATTTCCAGCCTTATCTTGGTTTATGACCATACTAACTAGCTGAAACATGAGAATATGGTGTCTCTATATTCTAGATATCCTGTAGTGTTACACATCGTACAATAGCCATGTCTGCTTGTCTGGTTATTTGCTCTTGATATAAGGTGATAAAGTTGAGAGATAATACGACGGCATTTTGTAATTCTACTACTAAACAGGGTTTGAACTGTAGTCCAGAGGAAGCAGCACTAGCAGGAGTGATAAGGGAGAACAAAACTCTGCACACTCTACCACCTTACGGGACCTGCGCCGCCCTCCCTTTGCTTCCTGACATCAGTCACTAACAGTTGCATCCAGGCTGCTGGAGGGGCGGAGCGCTGTCCGTGAGTTTGGCAGTGGGGGCTCCTGTGGTGATGGCCGGATCTGTGTCCAAGCTCTCGGACATCTTGTCGCAAATTAGGTCGACGAGACGTTCAAAGGTCTGCTTCACGTTGATGTTATCCTTGGCGCTGGTCTCAAAGAATTCTAAACCTTGGGGAGAGCAAGAAACATGAGAACAGGAAGAGACAGCTGACTAAGACAACAACCATACCATAGGAAAAGCTTTGACAGTTATTAAAAACAAAGCTGCTTCTATGTAGCCAATATTGCCTTAATGTGCAAGCCTAAGTCCTGGGCCCTCTTGGCGCCTCACAAGACATTGGCTTAATTATTAAAAGATTAACAACAATTATAATATTATATATTTGAACCACCACCATGAACAATATTGTGCCAGGGAAGTCACAGAGGTTTCCCATGCATAGCTGATGACTAGCACACTGTAGTGTCTCAACCCTAAACTAAAGTATCCTCCTGAGACCCTGTGCCCTCATGTGGACATCACATTTTGGGTTTACTGCACCTTATACTTCATTCTGCTTAACTTAGACCTGTTGTCCTCATTCATGGACACTTTTTGTGCCATCTAGTGGTAGTAAGAGCACAATACACTAATCCATGTGAAAACAAGATGGCAGCCATCTCTGCCAAGTCAGTCTGCAGCCGATCCTAGCCTTTTGTTACCAGGCTCTTCACGTACGGCGAAGAGCCTGGTTTCCATTCACTCTGAATTTTGTCTGGATTCTGGTTCCGGTCTAGAGAGCGGATCCGGAATTCACCAAATTCACCAAAGTAAAACTTTAAATTCTGGCGCACTATCCTTTAAATTGTGGCGCACCATCGATTTGGGGTGATGAGGGGTGTAAGAAAATCGATTAACTTAATGGCTTGGGCCTTTCTTGTAAATTATATTCTTTAAATTAAAAAGTTTCACCGCATTTTTATTAGCTTGGTGCTTTTATTTTGATGGAAAGGTACATCCATCGAATTCCGGATCCTGTCTCTCTCGCCCTGGTTCTGGTTCCTTACCAAACTAAATGGCCACTGACTAGCCGATCCCGACACAAAAGTGGACAAGGTCCAAAACCTGATCACTTTTTATGGTTGAAACTTGTTTATTTATGATTAATAATGTTTGTGGTTTAATTTGGCAACATGTTTGACCAATTTTAGCAACATTAACAAGCTAAGACACTGTTAATTAGGAAGTACTCATTTGAGGACATTGGGACTTCATTACTGTCTCGTTTGAGGACATTGGGACTTAATCATTGTTGACAATGTTTAAATTTTATAATTATCAGGTCCTACTGATCCCAAATAGCTAGGAAAAATTAAAAATGCATACAAACTTAAGTTCGGGTCTCAGGAGGATATATTAGCATTTCGCACTTCCTCATATCAAAGCAGACTGAGCCACCTAATGTCCCGTGAGCATGACATTCTTCAGGCTGTGGATTTTTAAGACACAATCATGCAAAGACGACCAGTAGAAATAAGAGAACAGTTGGTTTTATACCAGTTTTTATACTGGTTCATTGCTTGTGATGTTTGCAGGTTTTTAAAGGGATACTTTACCAGCAATGTATCATAACAATGTGGGTGGTATGTGTAAATGAACTGTGTTAAATTTACTTATTTAATGTGGAAGAAACAAATCGAAATTAAGGCGTATCAGCTACATAGCCATCATCCTGCCATCATAGATGATGGCTTTGTAGCTGAGACAGGCTCTTTTCTGTTTGTTTTTCCCACATTAAATAAGTAATCTTATCTGTCTGGGCTGGTGTTCTGTTTGTTTTGGATCCACAACCGAGCACTTGACACATTATTTCAGATTTTGGAGCATGCACGCTGCTATTTTTTACTATGATAAACTTCCCTCTACCTCACCAGCACCCAGATCTCCCTGCTCATCTCTCAGCTGAATCTGCCAGATTTTTGCTGGCTCTAGGATTATTGCTTGAACTACAGACTGTACTTCCACATTTTCTTATGCCTGCCACTTATACAGTCTATGCTGCCACCACAGACACAAACAGTGCAGTAGTGGATCGAGAGAGAGAGACCTGCTCCTATCTGTCTCTCTCAAACTCAAATGGCAAATCAAATGGCAAACTAAGCAGTACTGATCAAATATTATCCAAGATTATGTTTCTGTATTGCCTTTTTCTCACTTAAAAATGCCTTCAGAAACATACTTTAGTGCACTATTTGGCTGTAATCTGACAATTTGTCAACAGGAAGTGGGTGCCATGTCCTGTGTTGTAAAAACAGTGGCTGGAAAAACTCAGATCAAATGGAAAAACAGCAGTGCTGATATAAACTAAGATTACGTTACTGTATTGTCTTTTTCTCACCTAAAATGTCATAAACACATTTTAGTGCACTATTTGTCTGTAATATGAAAATTTGTCAACAGGAAGTGGGCACCATTTCATGTGGTGTAAAAATAGAGGCTGAAAAAACTGAGATTAAATGGAAAAGTAAGCAGTGTTGATCTAAAATGAACTAAAATTCTGTAACTGCGTTGCCTTTTTCTTGCCTAAAATGTTTACAGAAACATTTTAGCTTACTGTTTAACTGTACTACAACATTATTTGTCACCAGCCAGGTGCCATATTGCTTCCTGTGTCAAAATGGACATGCTCACATTACATCACCCACCAGCATTTTTTGATCCTGTATGGCGCAGTGCATTCTGGTAGTTGTAGGTTCTCTACCTCTTGCCACAGCCCTTTATCTCTGTTTTCTCTGGTCATGTAGCACCTTGAAAAAGTATCTGTGTCCTTCTACTGCATAGACAACCCAGTGTTCTGAAATACTTTAATCAAAAAGACTGATCTCCTCGTGATGCCACTGTGCACAAAGGCCTACTTGGTTGATAACCGAGCTTTGTCTAGACTTATTGTTGACGTACTGTCTGACATTGATGAGTTTCATATTCTGCTTACTGATTAGGGAGAGCACTCCATGTACCGTTTGTCGCTGTCCATTGATGGGGAGTCCTGAATTAATATTGCCATGGCATACTGTGAAGGGAGGGAAGGGCCTCCAGAGCCTGCAGTAATATTCAGGCACCTTTGTACAGGGCGTAGCAGTATTTTTGTTAACATCCCAGAAGGCATTAAGGGCTGAATGTTGCTCCAAGACTTACCCAACTGTTCTGCCAGCAGTCTGCCACTGTCCACTGAGACCACTCTCTCCTCTTCCATATCACACTTATTGCCAGCCAGCACCACCTGTGCATTATCCCATGAGTAGGTTTTAATTTGGGTTGACCTGCATGTAATCAGAAACAAATACAAACTTTTAAAAAAGCATCACAAAATGCTGTTGCTACGTTATGACAACTTGTCAGGATTGTTTCTGTGCCACTTCTTATTGCGCAGAATCCTGAAAGATGGCAGAGTGGAGGACATGATGTAAAGTTTGTTCGCCATTTGGACGGGTCGTGATAGGCGATTACTTTGGCATCGTGTAGTGTTTGAGTCACTGATGGCAGCAGTGGAAAAGTGGGTCAACTGTTGTTCTGGGCTGAAAACATGCATTCAGCATTACTCAGATGTAGGTTACCATTTTCTATTTTCTGGCTACTTGAAACTGATACTTGTTATGTCATACTTTTCATCCCTTCCTTTAGATTTGTTCTTTGACTCCTGCTAACTTCTGACTGGCACTCTATTAATTGTGTGTGTGCTACAAACAGCTTGTTGGGTATTGTAGCTACAAAGGGTATTAGTTATGGTCACTGAGAAGACATATGGGAGACACTGGTTTGTTACTAGATAATGGCTAAGTATGCAGAAGATGCACACACTCTCTGTTTAGCCTTGAAGCCAGAATGAGGATTTCCAGTGGGTTTATTGTTTGCTACATCCCAAAAAGGACAACTAGATAAACGCACGCATTGCCTGTACCATATTCACTGCATGTATGTAATACTGTATGACATAATCTGCATTGTGAGCCATGTCAAGTGTTCCTGCATGATAACAATGACAATTTCAACATCCACACTGACTGTGCGTCATCAGAGAGGTGCCTGCACTGTTCTAACCTCCAAACACATTTTGAGAAGGCATTTAGGGAACAAATATCTCCTGTGGTGTTGCAGTCTGACTAAAAGTAGGGCAGCTAACACACCACAGGCTGAAAACAGTAGCGAAGGAGCCAGTTAGAAAGAGAGGAAGAAACAACGAGTCAGAGCGAGAGAGAGAGAGAGATAGAGAGAGCAGCATGATGTTGGCACTCCTCCTCTCTCTCTGTCCAGCTCTGACTTGTTATAGCGGTTCAGATGTGGGTCATTTTGAAGCCAACTGCTGATAATGTTCACTGACAGAAAAACATTTGTGTTTGTATCAAGTCTAACAGAGCTGCATATGCAGGCTATAAAAGGTCTGTATTCGCCAGAACAATTCAGCCTCTGGAGAACTGAGGATGAATGGGAAAGAAAAAGAGCAGTAAATGCTTTGAGACTGTTTGCAGTAATAAAACACGTTCGTGTGCAGTGTAATTAATTTGCATGATTTCTTTTAAAGTCCTACATTTGATGTTGGCGTTACAATATTTCCCTGTTTTGTCTCTGTCACAGGCAGGAAATGAGCACGTCACAAGCTTAAATCAGCCACAGCCAGGGAAGGAGTGGTTGCCATGGCAACCCCCCTTTTTTTTCTACAACCTTGTCACAAGGAACAAGGGAAAGAGAAACTGGAATTTAAGCCTGTGGCAAAGGCAAAAACAGAAGAATTGTGGTTATATGAAGGGTACAAAAAAAAAAGAAAAAAGAGGAGCCTCTGCCCTTGTGTACAGCTGACTGATTTGTGCACTGTCTGTCTCGTACTCCCAGGTAACTCTCCAGGATTGTCGCTGCCAGGGTCACACTTGGCTCCATTAATTAAGATACCCATCACAGACAGTGCTCAGACTGCAGTATTCCATCAAAGTGTCAGACAGGCCTTAAAAAGAATAATAGGTGTGTCTGGCTCCGACCTCTCCTTACAAGAAGTCTTGTTTTCCTTGCATGTAACGACTGTAAGTCTATTTCAGTACAAATTAGGCTGATAATGTGGAGCATTTTAACACAATTTATGTTAATAACAGAGTGCAGCATCCCAGTTGTACATCCTTTTAAACACCCCCAATTAAAGAACACCATGTGTTCACTCTAAATGCAGCTGCTTTAAGCATGACAGGTGCTTCCTAAAGCAGCTGTCAAGTGCTGCTGGCTACGTGATGAGGGCCAAGTAGACACTGGCCTTAATAGTTATTGTCATAGTCCTACAATGGGTGCGAGCCACGTGGCATGCAGGTTTAAGTGTCAAAAACATCACCATCTATATCAAGCCTGTGTGAGTCACATTGTCATTTGCTTGCAGTTGAAACATCATGAGAATATTACTCAGAATGCTTTCCCCTTTAAAAACAGCTCATTCTGTGTTCCCATAATCTCTTTGGGGCTGGCAGACAGAGATAACCGCAGGACAGCGGGGTGTAAATAAAATGGAAAATGACAGTTTCTCACCACAACACCTGTGGAGAGTCGGGGCGTGAGGAGAAACATCAGCAAAATGTAAATCAAACGGCACATTTATCTTTGCAGTAATTGGCAGCACTGCAATTCCTCTGTGTTTTCACCAAAGCTGTTGCGCTGCTGTTTGTGCCGATGAGAACATGCTTGTTTCTCGAGCTAAATATCCTAACCCAGAAACCTGGTTTCTGCAGCCAATTGGACGTTGCCTTCCTTTCAAGTCCTGTTTTAGACATGAATACATCATCGTAAATGGCTGACATGTGGGCTTGGCTGAGAGCTGCTCTTCAGTCTGCAGACGCTCGTGTGACTCATGAATGGACGAGAGCCATGAACTTGACAAGTTTCCCCTCGACCTCCAAGCTTGACAATGTTGCACACATGCACGCTACATAACACTGTCTAATATTAGACAGAGAAGCTGCAAGGAGATAGAGATGGTAAGCTGTTTGCAGATTGTGTCATAAGAAGGGAAAACCTTGTACAATATCAACTGTGCAGGATATCAACTGATTGCATTACAGCGACAAACAGAAAGCTCTTTTGATATGTTGATCTGATGCAGATAACAATACAATATAACCCACAAATATAAATAAGATAAGAGCTGCAAAAATCATCAAAAACATTGACTCCAAAGAGCCCAGAACGACTCACCAGTCCTGCACAGCACCGAAGGACTCCTCGTTGGTGATGTCATACATTAGGATGAAGCCCATGGCCCCGCGGTAGTAGGCAGTGGTGATGGTCCTGTAGCGCTCCTGGCCTGCTGTGTCCTACACACGCACACACACAACATGATTTAGCCCTGCTGTTAGCCAGCTGACTGATATTTACGCCGTCAGGCTCGGCAACATTGACATGACCCTGCACCGCACATAATATGCAAGTCCATAATGGTAAATGAGAAGCCACGTGCATTATTAATCTGCAGCTATTTATACATACAGAGAGATTCATCAGTCCAGGTCTGAGCACAAGTTCGGATCTACATCTACATTTACTTAAGGCTGCGTTTGCTGTGTTCGTGATGTGGAAATAATCATTATGCTAACTGCCTCTCTGGCTTTGCATTGATAAGATGCCAAAAACAGCGATTCAGTTTTGGCTGATGTGATTGATTCTTTCCTCTCCTCGATAAAATAATCACTCAGCTGTGTTAAGCACGCGGTGGTGCAGTGTTTCGAGCCTGGCTCATGGCGTGCATTTTCTTAGGAAAGAAGGCTAAAAATAGAGATAAAATGATTTCAACATTAGCAAACTGCTTGCTGTTGGCGATAAGGCTGAACAAATTGCTCAAAGGCAAAGCAAGCGAGTGATTACACAGCATTCGAGGAGTAGTACATTGTACACAGATTACCCTGGAAACAGGCGCCGACTGCAGCCTTTGCTACGGGATGTCAATGAAAATGCTAATAGCTCCCAATACAGACAGATGAAGCCCCTCTGTAGTGAGTGTGTGTCCACGAGGGAGGAAGAGAGATGTGAGGTCAGGAATGTTTCTGCTCGTATAGATGTGTAGATTTGTTGTCTTATTGTACATTATATAATAATAAATCCCAGTGATGCCCCTCCTGTTTGTACTGTATGTTTACTGCGCTGTTGTTCCACCCACAACAAATGTGTTTGCAGGCGTCTGTGAATCATGATGGAGCACTTCTGGCTGCTCCACTTGGCTCTTGTTAAACAGAAGCTCGACAGGCAGCACTGAATTGTATTTGCCACAGTGGTTTTGCTCTCTGTCAGTCTGCACATGGCTGCAACAGTGTGCCCGTTTATAGCCAGAGGACAGCTCTGACCTTCACTCCACAGAGACAGAGCTCGCAGCCTGCCGAGCGTCCACACACACCACAGCTAGGACCTTTTGTCAGTTTACAATAACACCAGAAATGCATGTGAACGTGCGCATCTTTAATGTCAGTGGCCAGTGTGTTGTTGTATAAATAGCAGTGTTTGTGGAGTGTCATTCTGAACTGCATAAAGGGATGAAGAATATGTTTTATCAGTTTCTTTTAAGTGTATAACTGAGGATGCAGCAATCATGATATAGTATTTAGAAATTCAAACATCAGTTCTTTCTCTTGGCTGAATTTTAAGATGTTTCAGTAGCCTATTAATTCTCATCCGAGTGCTTGACAATGAGCTTTGCATTTCCAGGCTATTTCAGTGCACTGGTTCGCTTGTTCTCAGTTAAAAAGAAGAGCAGGACAGGGGGAAAAAAATGCTGAATCCCGTAAATTGGAGCTCCTTGAAAAGCTTCGCTTTTAGTTTGCAGCTCACCAGAAATCAATCCAAGGAGCTGACTGCTTCAAGTGGAGAGGCAGTGAGCGGAGGCTGACATGTGCCTGAACTCTTCATTCAGTAAAGTGAGTTTTTAGTTTTTTCACGAGGGTTCATCTTGGCAACTCTCTGCGATACGCTTCATTCACTCCGGCCTAATACGACAACTGGGAACAACTCTATGATGCATTCTGACGCTTGTATCTCTCAGCAGATTAATGGTGCGACCACCACAATGACATTAGTCGATAGCCATCACCTTAAACAGCCACTTACTGTAAACCTCAGCTCCCTTTGAGCCCAAATACAAAAAAAGACAAACCAATTAATTGGATGCAACTCCAGTGCTTTTTCTCTCTGACTCTGCTTGCCTTTACTATTGACGAAAAACGCATTACCCTGATAAGCCTGTCATTTTACTGTTCAAATATATTTTTTCAACATCCTGCTGGAGCGCTTCTCCTTTGTCTCTTTGTGTGATTAGCAAACACCAAACGTCTGGGGGCGGCTAATTGCCACAAAAGGCACCTATTATGACAAGAAGGAGAAAAACATCTGACGGAAAGTTGCCATTTGGTGAAGCGCGCAAAAAGAATAATAGAACTTTTTACATATCTATCCCTTCCACTGTCTCAGAGGTATTACCAGACAATCTGCTCCAGCAGCTCAGATGAACTCCTAATTAAACAGCCTCAGACATTCTTCGCTTTCCCACACATTCTGAGGAAGGTGTTGCTTCTGCGTTCTTCCCCGCTGTTTGCCAAACTAACACTTACTAGTCTCCTGTCAGTAACGTTGAGACTTCCATCTGTCTCCAGACTTACATCCTGGAGTGTTAAACCAAGGAAACACAATGCAGCCTCTCCTGAAGCTTTCCTCGGTTAATGGAGCACATGACCAATGTGCCACTTGTTTTTAAGGCTAAGGACAAAAAAAAAGGAACATTAATTTATTTGTGAATTGAGGCGCTGAAATTCAAACATTAGTATAATAAGATGGTGTAGTTGGAATGTGTGACAGTGATCTTTTAAAAGACTGACATAGCATTAGCTTCAAATCTACATTCTATACTTTGACTGAAGTATATATAACATAATATAAACATCAAGAGATGAAAAGGGGAGTGTGTCCCAACATACTAAACAAGCATCTGCTCTCAGAGACAAAACCCCTGACTAAAACTGAATTAATTCATAGGTGATCCTGTCTCTGCAGGACTTTTTTGTATTGCCAAGCACACAGCCATCAAGTCCCAACCCTTCACCGTCTTTGAAACATATTGATCCGCAGAGAAAGATACGGGCAGGGGTCAGGAGAAAGTGGGCTCTGGGCATAGACTGACAGCCTCTTACAGACAGGATTCACTCTGCGGGAACACAAAGACGCAGATGAACGAGGGGGGCAGGGCGTCTCTGAAGAGGCCCCTGCCCCCTTAGAGCTTAGGTAGTCCTCCAGGAGACCTTGGAGGACGACAGGACATGGATTTCTCCCACTTATTAACTATGATTCATCATGCAAATACTCTCAATTTAGCTGAATTAATTTGTGCACGCTTGGCATGACAGAGGAAACTGTGACATGAAAGGGAAGCCATGGTTACGATTTGTTATATGTTGCTGCTTTGTAGTGTGGAAATGTGTTTTCTTGCTTCTATAAATGACCATAATTAGATCATATTTAAATCCTGTATAGAGTTTGGAGACTGAATAGGATATATGAGGAAGAAACAGCAGATAATTATATGATTGTCTTGTAATGATCAGCCAAGGAGTGCAGGATAAGCAGAAATAACACATCTTTGATTGCTATATTCCACTTGTTTCATCAGGTTTGATCAGGAATCAAACATTTTGTGTCCCGCTTCTACATGTTTAACGCTTCGATGTTAATATTTCATACCCAGATCTGCAGCTTGATCCTCTTGTCGTTCTTGTACACCGTCTTTACTTTGAAGTCGATGCCCACTGTGCTGACGAAGGCCGAGGTGAAGGCGTCGTCGGCGTAGCGGAACAGGAAGGACGTTTTGCCCACGCTGCTGTTGCCGATGATCAGCAGCTTGAACATGTAGTCGAAGTTTTGGTCCCCTCCCTCCCCCTTCCCTTTCACATCCTGAGTGGCAGCCATCTGCAAGGAAAACACAAAAGGAGACGCTAAAGAAGAGCTTCACCTTGACTTGATGTGGAGCTTTTCAGAGCCCGTGACGCACACAAGTTTCACAAGATGCAAAGAGATTATTTGTTTTTCAGTGGACTGGAGATGTTGTAGCGCAGAGTCCTGCACATGCTTTCTGTGCAGGCCTCAGATCAGAGGTGACAGAAGGCTGTGTCAGGCAAAGCAGCATGACCAACACAGCAAGCTGTTGTATTGATGAGTATTAGATAACAGGGATTATTTAAAAAGCTGAGTTTGTCTTCTCTAAAGCCAAAATGATGAAGTCAAGGATTATTAGAATTGATTTTATGGATATTAGCTGGTGAATACAATTCAGATGGAGCACTTTTGATGCACTTTGCAAAATAGACCTATATGCTACTGGACATACAATCAAAATTCACCAGCCATTGAATCTTCCACATTAAGGCTGCAATATCCTACTGCTGTACAAAGGATGTCATGGATACATATCTAAATATACACCGTGCAACCTGTCAGCAGTCAACGACCTAAGAGGACAAGAGTACTACGAGCAAGATGCCCAGAGCAGTCATCTTAGCTCCAAGGTGAATGTTTTGACAAAACCCACTGCGCTTATATTCCAAACATGAGCAGCCCAGCTCTCCTTGGAGCCTAACCAGTTATAAAAGATGCCGAACCTCAATCCTGCACATCCTGCACCGGGTTTCTGCTCGCTTCCGTGTATGAGAAAAAAAAAACCCCACCGAGGCAGTAATGGCAAGGACACCGCTTTGAAAATATCAGTACAATGCTGCTCTTTACACACACCACGATAAAGGCATTTAATATGATAATACACGATGTATTTGAGCAGGGAGCTACATGCCAGCTAATGCTACACGAGCAATTCTGGCCAGGAGGTCATTTTATGTATTCATGAAATTCTTCCACATAACTATTAATAAATGAAAGTACCAAAAAAACCGCGTTGAGGACATTGTGTGAACAAACCTGTTTTGAAGGCCTCGGTCTCTATCTGTGTCTGCCCCTGTTATTGCAGAATACGGGTTTTATAATATTAGTGTCTAATGCAGGCGGTGGTGTTTCCTTCCCCCCTCTCTGTGTCTCGTTTTTCTCTCTCTGGAGCGCCGAGCAGCTTCAGCACCTGGGAGCTGTCCCTCTCCGCTTCGGATGTGGCACGCGCCCCTGAGCTGACGAGGCTGGCTCGCGTGAGATGAGCACGAGCGGAGGGGAAAGTGCGTTTCATGCGTGTGTGTGACGTCACGGTGGGGGGGGGGGGGTGTTTAAAAAGCAGACGGGTGTTGTAGTTTTTTTGCGCAGCATGGGCGCACAGGCGGGGGAGAGCGTTAAAAGCAGAGATGCGACTACATTACTCAGCATGCAGCGCGTCACAGCTGTCAGCAGATGTGTGAGTTAATGTGAGAGCGTAGGAAAAAAGCTTTGTAGTTCCTTTTTTTAATTTTTGTTTTAAATAAGCATCAGACAGCGCCTACAGACGCTCCTCACCGTGCATGAGAGAGATGAAAACTGCAATAAAACTGGAAACCTCTCTCCAGCCTCTCCCTGCTGTATGCCATAATTAAATAATGCATCTTACCTTCCCGTACAAGTCCATTTTGTGTCTCTTTAAAAATACACTCCAGTGCCTATAATAAACTCCCAGCTGGACAGTAATTTTTTTTTTCAGGAAGCAAATATAATGGCCTCTCCTTTTGCGTCACTCTCGCCGCCGTCCCCCCGCCCATGCAGCCAGCTCCGCTTCAGAGAGCAAGCGGCTGAGCAAATAAGAGAGGCCTGAGTGGTGATGAATATTATTATTGTGCTGCTTTCAATGGGAGCAAGTGCGGGATGAGGCCGAGGCGGAAGTGCATGGAAATGGGCATCTTTGCAATTGTAATCACCTCGGCTCTCTCTTTTTTGTCTTATTTAACACCTGCATAATTAATCTGAGAGGTGCAAATGAGATTGGCACAATTATTCTCCTTTATTATTCCCCTGAATGCTTTTAATAAGTGGCCCCAACTTTCCCCTATTACTCATCTCACACCTGACGCTTAGTCTATAACAGTCCAGCGTGCGCAAAGAAGCCACGGTCAGCCACAACAGACATTACATAAGCGCGGACTACAACTCGCACAGGCTCTAGCTGTCGGGAGTCTTGTATCTGCCAGTTAGCAGACATTTGATAGGGCGTGTATGAGTTTATAGGGCGGGATTGTGCGCTGACTGGCCGCCCTTTGACTGGAGGATCTGTGTGTGCAGGCTGGTGAGTGCGCAGCAGAGGGGCGGGTCAGGTAGGCTGCATAAACACGTCTGTTTACGCACATTTTGCCTGTTGTAACTTCAAATATGTGCCATATCTGTGCAGGGCGTGAGTCCATCTTGCGCGTAAGTAGGTCAGTGGCTCATTTGTTCTGTTAGTTTGGGACATTTAGTGCCGATTTCATCCAGAATCCAAAATCCTAACAATCTGTTGGCGTGTTTGAAAGCTGCTTTGGGATCATTTGGAGCGGTGGCGCTTCTCAGCTTCTCTTTTCGACAATACGAGCACCTACATTCGAAATAACATTTGTTTGCAGACACAGAGATGTTGTTTTTGTTTCAGTGCATGATGGTAAATAAAACTTTTCTAGAAGGATTCATGGTGAACGGCAGCTGTAGCACCATCTGCTGTTGGGAAAAGGTGCTCTGGTGATATTTTGGCAGCTCTCAAAGGCAGGCCTGTGGTAATGATTAACAAAGCAATATTGGCTGTAATTCAGATAGGCTAACTGTTGCTTTATAAGCCCACTGACTTCTTGATACCGACGAGCTGTGTCTGTTTACAAAGGGAGATTGGTTATTTGTATCCAGAGCAACCTTATCCTATTTTAGTGTTACAGCTTTCCAAATTAACCTCAACTGTTTGAGACATCATTAAATTACTCTAGCATAAAATAGTACAGGTTATAGGGTATAAACCTTTTATAGAATCTTTGAAGACCTTATGTATACTCCAGTAGGAGCTGGGCGATAAAATCAAACATCACGTTATTTTTAACAAGACACTGTGGGGTTGAATACTGGTGCTTTTTGAAAATATTTATAGGATGAGATTTTTGGTAAATCATCAGTAATGTGGATATATATTGACTAAGTGAGTAAAGGTGAATGATAGGACAGTATCAATAGGCTGGTAAATTTGGAAAATTACATCATTTTACTGTAATTCAGCCTTAAAAACCAGGCATAATCTCCTGAGACCCGAACTTTTGTTTAGTATGTATTTTTAAATCCTTCTAGTTATTTGGGATCAGTAGGACCTGATAAATATAAAAAATGAAACATTGGCAAAGATAATTAAGTCCCAATGTCCTCAAACTAGACGATAAAAAAGTCCCAATGTCTTCAAACGCGTACTTCCTAATAAACAGTGTCTAGGCTTGTTACTGTTGCTAACATTGGTCAAATTTATTAAACCACAAACATCGTAAATAGTTTCAACCATGAACTGTGATCAGGTTTTGGATCTTGTCCACTTTTGTGTCAGGATCGGCTGCAGACTGACTTGGCAGAGATGGCTGCCATCTTGTTTTTACATGGATTAGTGTATTGTGCTCTTACTACCACTAGATGGCACAAAAAGTGTCCACGAATGAAGACAACAGGTCTAAGTTATGTAGAATGAAGTATAAGGTCAAGTAAACCCAAAATGTGATGTCCTCATATGAGGACACAGGGTCTCAGGAGGATAATGTAATCTCATTTCAGGATACGGATACAATATTGATTTATTGCCAAGCCCTAACCAACCCCAACAGTTATTTTTATTAAGTATGGACATTAGTTAGTTTTCTTGTCCAAGCATGTTTGTAGCAACCAAACCTGGTGTTTTATGCCAAACCATGGTGTTTCCCCAACCCTAACCAAGTGTTTTTTGTACCTAAACCTAATCACATTATCCACAGTGTTCACAGCATAAAATTGGAAATTGAAACTTACAGAAATGTAAAGTCTTAATATATCCACTGCATATCTATCAATCAATCAATCAATCAATCAATCAATCAATATTATTTATAAAGCCCAATATCACAAATCACAGTTTGCCTCACAGGGCTTTACAGCATACGACAACCCTCTGTCCTTAGGACCGTCGCAGCGGATAAGGAAAAACTCCCCCAAAAAAACCTTTAACAGGGGAAAAAACCTCAGGAAGAGCAACTGAGGAGGGATCCCTCTTCCAGGACGGACAGACATGATATAGACTTCGTACAGAACAGATCAACATAATAATATGAAACCTACAAAATTTAACTGTGGTTTGTAAATGTACAATGCCAACATTTACTCTGGCAGTTGGGTTGCCAAAAACAAAAGCCGAAAATCCTATCTGATTTCTAAAATGATCAAATAACAGTATTGATCTTGACCTCATTAATCCAGTATCTGTTGGGCTAAGGAATATTACAGAGTTCTTCAGAGATATTTCCTGCAGTAACCTCTCCCCTCATTTACTGTATTTCCTACCATACTGGTGACAGTTCACAATGGAGGACTCCATTGAAGTGATTCTGCAGGATTATGGCAAGGTCCTTCCCACCACCAAACCCCATCCCGTCCTGTCGGCCTGCGTAGGCTCTCTCCTCACAGGCCTCTACGGACTATGGAGCCTGTTTTCTCTGCCTGGATTTCGCAAAATCCCAATGAACCTCAAGGTGCTTGAGATTCCCTTTTATTTTCTGTTTTTACCTGCTGGCTTTGCTTTCTTCACATCCTTTCAAATACCAAGTGCTGCATGTTTGTGTGAAATCACAAGACAGAACATAACTTGCACAATAACGATGATTTGCTTATTTTGGAGCTTAGTGTTTTGCGCTAGCAAGAAGAAAATGGTAAGTCTGTAACCGCCATTATGTTTCATGGAGAGCTGCACCATTTTCTACAGTATGTCAATCTGAAGTCTATTGTCGTAACATAATGGTTCGTGTACTATTTTTGTTCCCTGTCGGTACAAGATGAACAGGAAAACATGATGATCAGGAGCAGATTATCAGAAGTTAGGTAATGCTGACGCTGTTTTTGTTGCATGGAGAATCTGAAAAGAAGCAGTTAAACAGCTAATATTAATACATAAAATATGATTAAAACGTAACAGCTTTTCCATGTTTATTATATCTCTGACCTGTGATTTTTTTGGATGAATGACACAATGATTTGTTTATCCTGCCAGCGACTGTATATCCTAAACCCAGTGCACCTCAGCTAGAGACAAGAGAGAGCCCTGCAGAATTTGTCACTCAGACAGATAATGTCAGATCCACTGTCAGTGAGTGGGAGATCAGATTCAAGGTTATACTGTAGTCACAGCACTCAAAAGACTGGACTGTTGTCAGCAGAAGTAAAAGGAAAAGCATATGCAGAGGTGTTTTACATGAAAAAGAAAATCACGTTGCTGTAGTGTTGGTTAGTGTCATGATTTCTCTTGAACTCTCCCTTTCAGTCGAGCTTGATGCAGACTTATCTACAGTAGGGCTCATATTGTGACTTGTATTGACTGACTTTGTGTTTATACTGTGGTCCAGGTTCCTTATTTGCCCTCCAGCAAAGTTCAGACACTGAACATTATGCAGCTGCTGGAGGGACGGACAGGTCGCTTAGCAGATCTGGGATCAGGAGATGGAAGACTGGTAAGTGGACTGTGAGTGTTTTACGAAAATAACTGTGCAGAATTCCCTCTGTCCGACCTGCAAATCTGGACTCTGCCTGTGTTTTATATAAGTGAAGCCAGTGAGTGGGATTCAGGTTACCCAGCCAATGCAAATAGTTTTCAATCACATTCATTTATGGCCAAAAACTAGAGCGCAAATCTGACTCTAAAATTGTTATTTTCATGAGTTAATTTTAAATCTAAGTGTGATGTGTGTTCTGTTTGGTACTGCTGTTGTATTTTAAATCATCACATTTGTTTTCCCAGGTGTTTGCGGCTTCTTCTGCTGGTTTCCAGTGCACAGGGTTTGAGATTAACTCCATTTTAGTAGCCTATGCCAGGAACAAGGCCAGCTGGAATGGAGTGCCGTCCAGCCAGGCTACCTTTGTTAAAAAGGATTTCTGGAAGGTAAGACTTTAAAGGAATATTCAGCCCATGCTACTTTTTCTTCTTGGAGCTTCTTTGTTTCTTTGATGAAAACATTGTTTATCTTGAATGCCTCTGGTGAACGAAGCATTCAAAAACAGAGAAAATTCTTG